GTTCTTTTGCCATATAACTCTTATTTTAACGGTACAAGGGCCTGCAAGAAGAAGAAAATCATGCTAACCCCAGCAAATTCTGGCAGGGTTCATCTGCACAAAGCAGACCAGCATAAAACCTGAATAGGGCAGGAGCAGCTCAAAGACAACCGTGGTACCCATGACAACAGAACAACAAACTAAATGATAACTAAGGCTAGTGAAGATTTCATAGAGAAGGAAAGTGTCATGGGGGAGAGGGGGCTCAGTGATAATGCAAAAGAAGTGGTATATTATGTGTAAGGATTTGGGATTCTGGTGTGAATCTTGGGGTTAGGGTTAAGGTTATGTTTTTCCCACTGAATTACATTACAATTAGCTTAGGCTTAGACTCCTGGTGTCCTTACAGTACTGAGTCACAACAGCCATACAGAAATGGTTTCTCACTGTGTTATTTAGGACTGCAGCCAGTCAAGATCAAAATTCTAGATTTCATGGTCAGTATTCATCCTCACACTGAGCCTGCTTAGTTCCTGCAAGAGCTGGCAAATTCTGCCACCTCCCATCTGGGTCATCTTAAGCGTATGCTTTGTCTGCTGGTCACACCAGAAGTCTAATTTGAAGTTTGGTGACAGATCAGAAGGGGAAGAGAAAATTGCTCACCTTCTAATTCCTAACAGCAGGGTGATTCTGGGAAAGGCGAGGGCTCCAGGCTATTATAATCCAGACATGCAAAATTCCAAGACACCCAGATTTGAAGAAACAGACAGTCCCTTCCAAGAGACGTGTGGCCAATCCAAGCCCACCTCCCACTCCAGCCGTGAGCTGGAAACCCACACCCAACCTTTGAAGAGCTGCCCTTTAATAAACAAAATATTAAAATTGTCTGAGAGAAGAATTCAAGTTATGCATTTTATTTTTCCATCAGCCTGGTAGGAGGAGGGAGGAAGGAAGGAGAGAGCAGTCATGGAGTTCACATGGTTGAAATGTGCATTGCTAGGTGGAGGGCAGAATGAAGGAAGAGAAGAGAAAAAACTTCTAGCAATTCTGCTTCTGTACATCCTATAAAATGTGCAGGATATGTAGCATCTATATCTTTTGGGCACCAGAGACCAGTTTGGTGGAAGAAAACTTTTGCACAGACGCGGTTGAAGGAGAAGAGGAGTGCGCATCCTAGATCCCAACCATGCTTTGCTTGCTCACCTCCAACTGTATGGCCTGGTTCCTAACAATGCTGGTCCATGGCCCAGGGGTTTGGGACCATTGATCTAGATCAGTGCTTCTCAACTTTGGCAACTGTAAGATGTTCAGTTCCCAGAATTCCCATGCTGACCAGGAAATTTTGGGAGTTGAAGTCCATACGTCTTAAAGCTGCCAAGACTCAGAAACACTACTCTAGATGTTGCTGAATTATAGCTTCCAACAACCCTCTCCAGAAGTCCAGTTAGCTGGGATTGTAAGAAGATATGGCCCCAAACTTTCAGAAAAGCAAAGATCTCCACCTCCTGCTTAGGTGACAGCTTCAAACAATGGCAAGAAGGGAGGGTTTTCCCTAAATCACTTCAGGACTTGTGTGAATTATGGCCGTAACTAGCTTCAGGTCAGACTAAACAGGACATGATTTTAATGTTGTGCTTAAAGCCAAAAAGGGATTTTTTTTCCCTTTCATATCAGTATCTGATTCTGGAACTCCTCCATTAACCCATACCAAACGTCTTTTAGGATATTAAATTTCAGGTTATGTGACCTTGTGCGGCAACAAAGCCCCATCTTGGAGAGTTTCTATGAATGGTTGGTGTGAGAAGAACTTCTTTCTAGGAACAAATTGCCAAGCTTATCTACCTATCACACTGCCACCTATGCAAGCGCTCTCGTGCTCATTCCCTACTCTTCTTCATACACCCACACCATGCAGAGGTCCCATGTCCTTCTCAAAACAAAAGTCGTACGTTAACAGTGGACATAGAAACAGTGGAAATCTTGAAGAGATGAAGCAGAGGAAGACATTAAAAAGGGGAAAATTTTGAAATCAGGGAAGGAAGTAGAGTGGAGCATTTGCTTTGTCCTGTGAGTCATAGAACATACCGAAGCTAGCATGGAACACAATAAAGATAGTACATGGAAAAGAAGCAGTGACATGTCCTTTGTTTCAGAACTGGGGATAAAGATTACCCTGCTGTAAATCTTAATCTAGTTTTTCCCCCCCTCTGAAAAGGGCCAGGACAGATACAGCAAACAAACAGATTCTATCTATTTGAACTAAGAAAGGCATTGCCTGCTTCTCTGTGAAATCTGGTAGGTGAAATATATATATATATATCCCTAATGAACATGGTGATTTTATTCAAGCTTATCTTGGTTAACTGCAGTGCTAGATATAAAAATGGTTTGGTAAGCCTGTCTCTCCTCGAACCCTTAGCCCAAACCTGCATCTCCACCACTGCGTATTAAGTTACAGGCAGGCCCACAACTATGGAAAAGAAAATTCCATCCCAAGAGCTTCTTGATGGAACTTTACTTTAAACTCTAGTTTATAAGGGGAAGTTTCCAGCAGACAAAGACAAGAACATGACGGCCAAGCAAGAAAGAGTCCAAGACAAACAGGTGAACCTCTAAGATAAGCAGATGCAGGCCCCGCGTTTTGTGCTGGTCATTTGAGACCAATCCTCAGCCAACAGCAGTTGAAGGAACTTAAACCTGGTAGCATATTCCGGATTTAAGCCAAGCTGGGTGGCCAAGAAAAATCTGTCCTTAATATAACCCAAGTCCAATTCCAAGGTAGTCTGAACGAGACAGCAGACCCAAGTCCAAGCCAAGAGATAATTTGTTCAATTGATGTGTTGTTGAACTGGTTTGGGTAACGAAATACGCAAAGCTCTGAGTTGCATGGAGTTTAAACCAATTTTCCATAAGCATGGCCCTGATACTCTGAATCTCCATATTAGTGTTAAGGATCAGGGCAAATCAAGCAAGAAGCACAAACTGGTAGTTGGAACTTTTTCCACCCAGCAATGCATTTATAAAGTAAGCAATGTTTGCTGAAGGCCCAAGAGGAAAGACATGAAATGCTTTTCATTTCAGAGCCATTGTGGTGTCTAGTGGTTAAGGCACCAGGCTAAAAAGTGGGAGACCGTGAGTTCGAATCTTGCCTTACCTATGAAAGGCAGCTGGCTGGCTTTGGGCCAGTCATTCTCTCTCAGCCCAACCCAACTCATAGGGTTGTTGCTGCGAGGAAAACAGGAGGAGAAAGGTAGCTACAGGATTATGGGGCTATGGGGCTGGCCACTACACAGAAGGATGCTTTTTGATGCTTTCCCTCCACATAAAAACTTCCCTGCAAGGAGAGTTGGCTCTTTTGATTGTTTTTTTTATACAGGTAGGCATATATCTTCAACCAGAAAATAATCCTGCAGTTGTCCTATCTCATTCAGTATGAGCTTACAGAAGTCTCAAATACAACGTAAATCTCCATTTAGTACCATATTTTATTATTATGGATCTTACTGTAGTTGAGTTACCTGGGGGAAAAATGACCCATTCTCTTATTAGGAGGAGGATAGTTTTGTATAACCATTACCTCACAAATGATAAAAATTGGGCAGTCATCTAGTATAAAATGTTTCAGAGGAGGAGGAGGAAGAGGAAGAGGAGGAGGAGTTTAGTTTCTAGCTGCTGTTATTAGAATGAGTTTGAGTTTTGAGTTTTATTTCATTTGTATGCCGCCCTTTTCCCTAAGGGGACTCAGGGCGGCTCACAACTCAAAAAAGGAAAGGGAGATACAAACAGCTTAACAACAACACAAAACAATACATAATTAAAAAGCACAACAGTCATACCATTCGANCTAACCTCTCCTCCACTCTTCCTCTTCCTTTCCTACTATTTCTCCTTCTCTTTCTCTCCCTTCCATCCTCCTCTCCTTTCCCTTCCTTCTTCCCTAGTAAGGAGGCTTTTAATATGGTAATAATGCTGATTTTTTCTTCATTTTGAACAAATGACATACAACAAATTAAACCTTTGTTTCCTATTCTGGCATCTATTCATACTAGTCAGAGGTGCTTAAACGAGGAACTGCCCTAACAAATCAGCTAACTATGTTGTTATCTTAATTTAAACAAGCAAGACCAATCGAAACTCATAGTAATACTCAGAAGTTGCCTCAAAGTGACAAGGCTCCATTTTGCTATCTACTCTGTAGAAAAATCACTCCAAATTTGGAATCACCATTTTTTAACATTATCCACTGAAAACAAGAAGAAGAAAAACCAATTCCAACATATAAAAAAATTCAGCATACTCCCATTTTCATCTCTTTCGGATGTCAGAGAGCAACTGAGGATATATTATCAGACCTATGACCTCTGCTCAATCCCCTATCCATTCCCACTGCCAAACCTAACAGTTTCCTCCAAATGTTGATAATATATTTTCTTTTCTTTTCTTGGATGGATAAATTACTTTTTATTTAATAAACTCACACTTATTAGATTTTAATTCTATCCCGCTAGCTTTAAAAATAAACATTCAACAACTATTAAGGAGCTCCAATGTTCATAAGCCATGCTGGTGTGCCGAATTATACAAAGAAAACTGTATTAAAATTTCATGTCCTGGATCTATCTGGACCATCTTTTCCCCCTTAGCTCATCTGCAATGCAAAATATAATGTTCACTTATTATTTGAACAGTTACAAGAAGTGAGGTATTAAACGCTATAGGCCGTAAATGAAGGAATTCTCATCTTCTGATCAGGCTATTTTCATCTTTATACCCCTTCCAAACAAGGGGCTCTCTGTTTCAAAATATGAATGAATGGTGATGTAACATTTTAAATTTCTGCAAGTGTACTGTTTTTTTTTTTGTTTTTGTTTTTTTGCTGTTTAACTTCTGTAAGTTGCTAAGACAGCGGACATCTCTATGGTAGCCTCTTAGAGAAAGCAAATATAGCGAAATCAACGTAACATGGGATTCACCCAAACCGTTCCTCCTATTACAGCCAAAGCTGGGTCTTGGACACTCACCTGCATGGTAGGCTACAGACCCTCTGCTCCAGCCAGGATGCCGGTTTTTGGGGTAATCCTAGGGCAAAGAAGAAATACAGCCAGGTTGCACATCATCACATTTCTTCTGGCAAAAAAATGCCACAGAGAAAATAAATTTCCATTCCAGGCATGATTGATTGAACAAGCAAGCATGCACCTCTTTAGTGAAAGCTCTCACTTCCTCTGTGGACTTTTTATATACATATATAATTGTATAACACTATATATACCGCAACTATATAACTCTATCATCTATCTATCTATCTATCTATCTATCTATCTATCTATCTATCTATCTATCTATCTAT